AGCTTTGTGGCACTGAGCAGCCCTGATATGCCAGTGGCTTGCCCCTCCTGCTGCACCTCATTCATAAGCCCCAGCCCTGCCAGTGCCCCTCATTCCCAACCTGCAGTCCCCTGGCCCTGTCCTCACTCCCAGCCCGCTGCCTCTGCCTCCAGGCCTCAGGCCCCCAGTGTGAGGAAGGGGGGTGGGGGTTCGGAGGGCAAGGTATGGGCACAGGCGACACTTGGGGAGGCATAGGGTAGTACAGGTGATGTGTCATGAGGGCATGGGGCACATAGCCCCCCCCCCCAATTTCTGTGCCCACACTGGGGCAGTCAATCTGTCAGGCTGGACCAGCTTCAGGTAGGAGTTACCTCCATGGCCCAGTGCGCAGGACCTGGCATGGGAGGGAGCTCTGCACCACCATAGCTGCCAAGGTGAGGCGCAGCGGTAGCACAGAATTGTTCTCCTCGCTGCTGCCAGGTGGGCAGGGAGGACCTCACCTTGGTAGCATAGTACTCCCTCCTGCGCTGAGTCTTGCTAGCTAAGCCAAGGAGGCGGCTCCTGCCCAGAGCTGGTCCGCCCCAGCTGCAGCCCAGCGCCCTGGTGTGGGTGCAGAAATCTGGTGGAGCATATGCCCCCTGCCACATCACCTGTGCCTTCTTCGCCCCCCCCCCCCATCCCCTGCGCCACATTGCCTGTGATCCCTTACCGCCCCACATGTTGCCTATGTCCCCCCTGCTCCCATAGACTTAGCTGGAGGGAGCTGCTCTCTACCACATTGCCTGGCTGCTCCCAAACAGTATTTTTCAGGCTGAAACTCTGCTAGCCTGCAAGGGGAAATGCATGGTTCCCCAGGTTTTTCTCCTTCAAAGGAGAAAATCTGTATTTTTCCATGGAACACGGAAAAGCTGGATCCCTGATGATAAGGCTCATTTTTTCAAGCTTGGTCTTCACAGGCAAATCACACAGCATGAACTTATGTGGTTTAAAAACAAACTTGCTTAAACTGATGTGACCCTGTTGTGTGACTTATGTTTTGTTTCAGTTGGAAAATGCCTTTTATTGACTGAGTATTAGTCAATGATAGCTGCTTCCACAGAATAATCTCAGCATTGTGGAGAAAAACCAACACAGGGCGCTTTGGCTGGGGAAGGAGAGGAGGAGAATTTGTGTATTGACCCTAGGGTGACCACTTTTTAAAAATGGAATGACAGGACACATACCTATCCTTCTCCCCCCCGGATGGCCAGATTAGAACCATGGAGAGCAGGGGAGGGTATGACTTGCCCTGCTACTGTATCCTTGGGAGCCTAGCTGCGTGGCCAGGGGGCACAACTCTGCACTGCTGTCACTGCCCCCACTGCTGCCTGGTGGGCAGGGAGTGCCTTAACATGGTGGAATGGCTGGTGCAGGGCTCCTGGCAGCGGCAGCACCAAGCCTCTCTGCCCTCCTATGCTGGTCCACGGTGGCCCTAAGGCGGAGGGCAGCAAAGCAGGGAGCCCCCAGTGGGCAGCCCACATCTGCCCCAACCCTGCACATATTTGAGGGGCACATGCCCCCCTCAGGAGTGCACACAGCAGCAGGCAGCCAGCCCCCTCGCCACTTTCTGGACAAGCCACTTGTGGCTCTGTGGCGGGTGCAGAGATCCCACCTCAGGAACACAGCTGGGTATTCGTATCCCTCTGCTGTTTCCACCACGTGAGGCGGGCCAGTAGGGGGTGCTCCTGCGTTGAGCCGCCCACCTCCCTGCGCCCGACCACCTTCCAGGCTCCAAATGCCTCCCTAGGGGCGCCTTATGTCTGGCCGACCCCTCTCCCGGAGCACACTCGCTAGTCTGGGGGTAACGTGCCGCCAGCACCCCAAGAATGGACTGTCTCATGGCCCTGTGTCCTTGGGGTAACACAGGCCTAAAGTCCCACGGGTACTCGACCCAGTACAGGCACTTGGGGTACTTCCCCAAGTCCGGGGGCAAAAAGGTATAGTCTCCCTTAGTCCACAGACCTAAGGGATCTCTTAGGCATAATTTAGACCCACCCCTCAATAAGTCTCCCACACCAGTCAAAAAGGAGAACTTTATTGATTACAGGGGGTAGGGCAAACTAGGGTACAGGATAGAGCAATATCTAGAAATCCTAAAGAGCAAACAGTCTGGCTGTGGTAGCCTTTTGATTACGCATCTGTGATACTTCCAGCTAAATATCTAATCAGATTGAGTAGCTTACTCACAAGCATCTTCCAAAGGCAGGTGAAGTTTCCCTTTGGAGGCAGGCGGTTCCTAGCTCGTGAGTTTGGGGGGAGAGAGCCAGTTTCAGATGTTAAGGCTTCTCTGTCCCCTGCCTGGCTGCTGCGTCACCTCATGGCCGGAGAGGAGGGACCGCCTCCTTCCCCGTCCTAACTTATATAGCCCCTGTGACCTCATTCACCTGGGCCAGCGGAGGTCAGCCCCAGTTGGCTGTCAGCCAACCAATTTGAAATGCATCACCTGTTACCGGGCAGATTCCAGCTCCCCAGGTAGAAACCCCTTACCCAGGTAAGTGATGCAAGTCACGTAGGCAGAGGGAGCAGGTTTCCCCCCTCCCTCAGGAATGCAGCCAGCTCCAGTTCCCTAAAGAGACAGGCTGAGGGTGTGGTCCCCTGTGTGCTGGGCCCATCCTAATTGAATGGTCACAGCACAGAGATTTAAATCAGTGTAACAGGGCAGAGATTTTTGGGGAGAAACCAAGGTGGCTTTCTGCCACAGGCTCCATCCCACTCGCCAGCCAGTCCCGCTGCTGCACATTCCCACCCTGCTCTGGGCAGTGCCTCCAGTCCCTGCCCCACTTCCTCCCTCACCTTTGGGGCCTTAGTCTGCCCCTCCTATCTCTAAGCCTTCCCTCCCCATAGACTTACCTGCAAGGAGCTGCTCTCCACTGCTTCCTGGCTCATGTCCTCATTTTCTTATCCCACCCGGAATAATGAGTTTCCCAACTGGTTATTAATTTGGCTGGGCAGTGCATCCAGCATGAGAGAAGTATGGCTACCGTAAGCTTTGTGGCTTGTTCCAGGTGCGCTCCAAGATATCCTCTACCTGCCTAATTGATTGATATCTGTGTTCTGATACTTACTGATATGTAGCTGGCAGAGCGGCAGGACAAGACTTACTTGCAGAGGCACAATTCTGTTGGGTTCTGCACTTTGCAGTCCAGACTTCTGAGAGCCCAACTTGCTGGCAGCAGGGTGCAGGGGGACTGGGAAGTGATTTTCTTTACCAGTAGTACAAGTTACTTGCACATTGTTGGAAATGCTGCCTTGTGTAGGTGTGGTCAAATAGTTGTATCCGCAGACCTTTAGAAAGAATGGTGGGGGGAGGGCCTTGGTAAAGCTACCAACCTCACTAGCTGATCAGGCTGGTGCCGTCCCTGATTAAATGCAGCCTCCAGGCATTTTTATTTTGTTCTGTCAAGTCTTTTTTCAGCAGCTTATCATGGTGCCAGAACGTGTGACCCTTCCCACACATGCCCCAAAACTTTTGAGGCAGTTTGCCTTATAGCACCCTCAGGAAGCACTTCTGGGAGATGTCATCCCCACCCTGAAAATGAGGAACTGAGGCATGGAGACAAAGACTCCTGTTCAGAAGCCCTTCTGAATATGCTTAAGCAAGTGGATAATCCCATTGCCCACCTACAAAGAACGTTAATTTTGTGCTTCCCTTTTATTAAGCACATGCCCAACTCCCTAGATCAAGTTAACAGGTAAATACTTTGGTAAATCAGGGTTCTGACATGCCAGTTCCCATAGGAAGTCTGGCAGAAACTGGAATGGGACCCAGATACCCCACTCCCTTAACCACAAAGTCATCCTTTTGTCTTATTCTTTATCCCAATTTATATTAAATTGTTTAGGCGTCTTTGAATCCCTGAGGGAGTTGTTCTGCCCTCCTTGGATAGAACTACCTGTGACTTTTATCACTGAGTGCTGAGCAGCAGTTAAATAACATGGCAACCTCTAGGTGCCAATGGCTTTGTTCAGAAGAGCACCTTAGAAGGGGGTACTAGTCTTGCCCCTGCCAGAGGAAATGCTGCCAAAAAGTTGTGGAACTGAAGTCCACTCCATGATAAGGTAGACTGGGCTCTAACCCTGGTCAGCAGCCAGTTGAGGAGTGGGGCCTTGATAGACAAGCGGGTGATACCCTTTGCTCCAGCAGCTCCTGTGGCCGGCCTGGTTCCAAAGGTAATGGAACCTGCCTTTCTTTTAGATTAAACTAGCAAGGGGGACACTTGTATGTGGGCAACTCATTGTCTCCATATACACTGCCCCGCCTTTTTCGCCCTGGAGAGGTCATTCCAGCTTCACTTTATCTTTCAAGCAAGGATTAAATTCAGTGAGCTGATGTCTCACTTGGCTTAATTCTTTCATCTCCCAAGACAGATAGATGCCTACTACTACTTCTTTGTGATTGTCTCCACCTTGAAGAGAACAGGTTATTTGTCCAATGTAGAATGTCAGCCTCTTTCCCAGAATGGTTCTTCCCAGCCAGAATAAGACCAGACTCTTCCAGGTTTCTGCCCAAGACCTTCATCTGTGGTGACGTTATAGTACAATGCAGACACCACCAGTGGCAACGTATAGGGGGTATATGGGGGTGCACATGCACCCCCTGAGCGTGCTGGTGCACACCCTGGCTGGCTGTGCTTGCCGCTTAGGCAGCAGGCAGGTAGGAGCGCTGGTGCCCCACCTCCAAGCGCTGGCTGGGGAATTGGCTACAGCGATCAGCTGCCTTGCGCTTGGCCACAGGGGGACTCCTCCCCCTGGTCGGTGGGATCGGCCATGGGGAGACTCCTCCCATCAGCAAGATCAGTCGCAGGGGAGACCCCCCCCCAGTTGCTGACTGGTCATGGCGGGGGG